AGCCACAGGCACTGCCCCCTATTGTTACTTCCTTGAAAAGTCACTGCCATAATGTCAGACACTACCATACCATGACAACTTCTGTCAGATTTGAGTAAGGTGAACAGACCATGATGGTGAGATTTAGACCTTTTAGCCTAAACCAAAAACTGTTACTGTAACAAATACTTTCTCAACTAGCAGAGTTCTTTAAAATACATTATGGGGCGCAGTGGCTCACTCCTGTAATCCTAGCACTCTGGGAGGCCAAGGTGGGTGGATTGCCTGAGCTCACAGGTTAAGACCAGCCTGAACAAGAGTGAGACCTTGTCTCTAAAATAGCCGGACATTGTGGCAGGCAACTGTAGTCCCAGCTACTTAAGAGGCTGAGGCAAGAGAATTGCTTAAGCCCAAGAGTTTGAGGTTGCTGTGAGCTATGACACCATCGTACTCTAAGGGCAAAAGTGACTCTGTCTCAAAAAATAAATTATATTACTGGATCACAAAAACTTAGAAATGGAAAGAAACCGAGACATCACTAATACCAGCAACAAATAGGTAAAGAGGTAGATCCAAGGTTGGTAGAACAAAGGTTGGAAAACAAGTGTTGTGACTGGAGATTCATATGCTCTTGAGATTTGCTCAAAAAGGTGACCTGAAGTCTAAGAGTTTTATCCTAAAATGCTTAATCTGTCAATCATTAAGTAGTGCATGACCATCTCTTATGTGCTATCCGGGAGCTTTCTTTCTAATCAGAGACAAGACTTGCAAACATTAAAGAATTACATAACTAAGCAGGCGCACTTCAGAGACCACGACTGATGCTTGGAAAGGTGAAGTTTCCCAGTGACAGGATTTGAGGTGGTTTTAAAGCAGAGCTTGTGAACTACAGCCTGTGCACCAGCCAGATTCAGCCTCTGCACAAAATCTGTTTGCCCTTCACTGTGATGAGTCAGTGTTTTTTCCCCCTCCAACTGGGAACTTTCACATAAAAATCCCGGTTTCTGGACTGTCAGAGAAAACGGCAACACTTGCCTTGTATTTCCCCTATCAGCAGCAGTTATAGCTGAGGCAGCTGACCCCCTAGACACTGAGCAAGCCTTCAGCTCAACACCCAGACAATCCCATTACCTGCTTGGCTCCCTGGGCAGTGGGTTTGCTACCCCTACTTTAGGAATAGGAAAGACAGCCAGAAAGGTGAATGAGACAGAGAAATAAAGATCACTGAGTAAATCATGGTGTGAGTGCTGGGCCAAAACACATCTGAAACCAGCAGAAAAGTCTAGTGGGTCAGTGCAGCCATTTTAATCAACAAACTAAAATTAAATAAAATGCACATGACAGCTTGTAGACCAAGAATGTTTATTTCTACATATAAAAGATAACATTCAATTACCATCTATTCAGTGCCTTCACTTTTGCATACTTTAAAAATACTTTAAAATCTGAAGTTATAATAAAAAATTTCTTACAAATTAAACGAATGTAATTTGTGTATTGCACAATTACACGTGACTTGTTACAGAACTTTATTATACAGTGGTGGTGGTAAGAGTGACTCACTTGGCTTTCAGACATCCTAACACTCATACTACTCTTACTCCGGATTTGCCTTCATGGTCTTCCGTTGTTCATTTTCACAATTCAGCCCCAGTTGCTCTGATATGCAAAGAGGTCTGTGAAAAAAACAGCCTGGAAATCTGCCCTAACAAAAGGTAAAGAGGTTTTTCTGGATGTTTTTGCTGGGGAGCTAAAATTCAAATTTACAGACTGTAGAGTACTAGCCTGATGATCCTGCTGTGTATTCATTTGATGAGCTGCTTTTCTTTTTTTTTTTTTT